TGAGTGCTCACTGGAAGGACAGATCCTGAAGCTGAGGCTCCAATAATTTGACCATCTCATGAGAAGAGAAGACTCCTTGGAAAAGACCCTGATGTTGGGAAAGTGTGAAGGCAAGAGGAGAAGGGGATGACAAAAGACAAGATAGTTGGACAGTGTCAACAAAGCTACCAACATGAATTTGACCCAACTCTGGGAGGAAGTGAAAGACAGGAGGGCCTGGCATGCTCTGGTCCATGGGGCCACAAAGAGTCGGACATGACTTAATGACTAAACCACAAAAGAGGAGGAAAAAAAGAAGCCTAAATGATTATATCAGTACATAGCAGAGAAAAATTACTAAAGGCAGTGAAAAGGGAGAATATTTTGAAAACAACAGAAACAAAGGCTTAGATCCACTATGACTTGGATACTTCAGCTGATGCAGGCCCAGTGGATTTTACTTTGGCCTCTGCTTGTCTTGTGCTAATGGACGAGTTAGTTGCTAAAGCTGAGAATGTGGATAGAAACCTTGGAGATGTGAAAGCGTGGAACATGCTGAATCCAGAAACTCCTAGATCAAATGTATTTTAGATCCATTTTGATTTAGTTTCAGGCCTGGGTATGAGATACAGAGAGCTTTGGTCACCTTTGCTGGTGATCTTTGTCTGGAACTGGATGCAGGGGGAGTATGCTTTGGCTAGTTCTGCTGGGCAGAGAGGGTTTTGATATCATCTACCCTCAAATCCACATAGGATGCCTCTCTAGGGTGGAATTTGGTGGGGAGAACCAGATTAGCAGTTGGTGTTGGGGGACTCCTGCTTGATGCCTTGGCTGATGGCTTCCATCAGGGTTCATTCTGGTGCACATGAAATTATGCTCAAGCTACATCTGGTAACTGACCCTACTTTGCCTCTCCACAGAATCCTTTTGTTCAAAGCGGAGTCATACTGACAAAGGAGTTGTTCCTTAGGAAGGTTTTTGCACTCCCTATACAAATCTCTTTCAAACAGTTTGCTTTTCTTTAGCAGGAGTCGCATTTATAAGAGACAAAGTGAGTCACTATAAAGGGTGACAATGACAGAAAATTGATTTCCCTGCTTTATGTATGGCAATCATTTCAGCTGGAGAGTTTCCTTAAATATGTGCCTGCCTCCCCAACCCAAAAATGGTAGGCAGAACAATGTTACAAAGATCACATAGTTGGGAAAAATTCGATGTAATAGTGTACCATCTGATCCAATTTATATCCAGATATTTGCTGTACAGTTTGAGATAAACCTGCCTCAAGCTCCTCGGGAGGTGTCTACACAGCATCATTAATTTTTGAGACATAGTAGACATTCAGTGTGTAGGAAAATCT